AAAAAAAAAAAAAAAAAGAAAAGTTTTATTCATGAAAAATTTTAAAGTGAGTGACATCGAATATTTTATCTCAAAGGTAAACATGTTATTAAATATTTTTTAATTCATTCGTTTCAGGTATATACAGTGCTATTCGTATTAACTGATTGGCAATTAGTTTGTTCACCATTGATTGTAATCCCGGTTCTGCTACCTTATATGTAAGTGTAAAATATAGACATTTAAATTTGAGTTTTGTTAAATAGATAAGTGAAGAAAATTTATATGTAGGATTTTAAAAATATCAAAAATATATTTCAGCACCACTTTTTTTTTTGCAAGCAAATAATTGAGACCGATTTGAAGTAGTTAATTAGGTGAATAATAATTTTTATTTTAAATATAATATTTGTATACAAGACCAGAATTGACTGCACCTTCTGGTTTAGTTCTAATTTGAAACTTCCATATGCACATCAAGCACATCAATTTGTAAAGCAAAAATCAACTTCAAAACATCACAGAAATTGTAAGTTGTGCTCTAACAAAAATGTGAGAACAGATGTTAGCATAAAGTTTTTAATGTTATATCGTTAATTGTTTGTCGCACTGACAAACTGTTAAATTGACAAATATTCTCAACAGATTGATAGCAGCAGCAAATGTAAATAGTTTTCAGGGTTACATTTCACGTTAACAATACAAAAGGTGGTGACAAGTTTCAACAATAGATTCTCAATGCTTCACCAAATCTTAACGAAGAGCAGATGACGGTAAAATTAATTTCTGCTTGTTTCTTGTTGGTGACAAAATTATTCCGAAACAGTAAGCAGTCGGATTATCATAGTTCTTAAAAATCTCTTAAATTTCTCTTTATAAGTGCTTGAAGACTGAAAGCTTGAAAAAACAAATTCAACTTGAGAAGAAAAAAAAAAGTTTTAAAAAAATTTAGTTATGTATTCTGGCAACCTTTGTAGATTACTGCTTCAAAAATAAATAAATAAGTGGTTATCAAGACTACTTAGTCTGAAACTGACTTTGATTGTTTCTTACATCTTTCTGGCAATTTTCTCTTGACCTTTCTAGACAAGCAAAAATATTAAGCTATACACTGTTAATAGATCAGACAGTATATAGCTTTCTGTTATGTTATAAGAATTTGCCAAAACTTTTATTACATTTTTAGGACAACTGTTTATGATCCACTCTATCCTATTTGAAAAATAAAGCAATTTAAACAAAGCAAAAAGAAAAAAATAATGATTTATTCTGAGGATGTTAAGTCATTAACAGTAATACATATTACCAACAACTCGGTTAGCAAAATATTACGATGCACCCCCAAAAACAGTATAATTTTATGCTAATTTAAACGATATCTATTTAGTAGTAAAAAACTGAAGCGGAAATGTAAGGAGCGCCTTGTTAATTTTACAGCTGTAATCGACTACCGTCTTTAGTTCTGTCATCACTCATCAAGACTTCTGCATTTTAATGTTGTTAAATCTGTTATATTCTTAATTTCGATCTTCTTGTTTTTCGTCTGTTAATTCTTTCATTGTTCTACTTTCTATAAATTAAAATTTTATTTTTTTTTTTCTGCTGATAAAACATTTTACTCCACTGATTATGAATAATTTACTAAAAATTATTACTTTTACACAATAAATAATGCTTCCTCCAGGTGTTTCTTAATTACGTCATCAGGTCTACTTTTTTTGATTCAGATATGTTTCTGCCAAAAGTTTAGGAAAATATTACGTTATCTACAATGGCTGCCTAAGT